TACTTGGACTTAAAGAGGCGTTGAGTACCTAAAGAAGATGGAATATCCAAGTAGGTCACCTGACCTGAATCCCTCAATTACCCGGTTTGGCGGAGTTCAATAGGGTGGTCTACGGTGGCGGAGAAATCGACTATCTCGCTGATCTCAGGCACCACATCGCGGTCGCGTGCCAGAATCTCTCGATGGCGCTCGTCCAGAAGGCTGTGGCGGAGTGTCATGATAGTATTATGCTCTTAATATGGTGGTAAAAATGTCCGATCAGAATTTATAAAGTGTAACTTATAGCGCCTCGAAAGTCAATGAAGAAAAGTGACTTTTTTTGCTCCCCCCTGTGTACTTCAAAGGTTTCAAGGTTGTCATCAAAAATGTTGCTCTTTTCAGCTCGGAGATCCACAGCCCGATCCGAGGGCTGTGTCCCCAGCACCAGGCCATACAAAGCGGATGATACGTAGTATGAATGAATCCACTCAACGTTTAGATCCTCACCAGAATAGTTTCCAACCGATTCGTGATCGTAGACTAAGCCCTGGCTCACAGTACCTTTGAAAGTGCCCCAGGCAGCACTACCGTAATCCTGCTGATATCTCTCGAAAAACCTCGACCCTTCACGAATAATCGTACATTTTGGTGCTGCTCTTCATCTGTTTCTTATCATCCATGTCATTATAGATTATCGCATATGGCTGTCTTTTCACTAGTAGATTCAGTTACTTCAAATGTGCTATATTATTGATTGTTAGAGATTATTGATTGATGTTATTTTGTGTCTGTAAGTGCTGTGTGTACGCTCACGTTTTGTGTGTGTGTCGATTAATGCAGCCTTGAATTAAATGTTTTACTGCTTTCACTGCTACACCATGTGTGGACTTCGTGTGTGTTGCTTCTCAGCCTCGCTTGATCATCGCACATCAGGTGACGATTCAACCCAATTCACAATCATTTTCAGGCTTTCAGGGGTCAGAGGTCTTGAATACTAGTAATTTGTGTTCAGTGTACTATATGGCTTACACTAGATGTATATGGTAATAATTAAAGCTATTTTCAGGCTGCCACTCAACCGCCGAAGGTATGCACTCTAATAGTAGTCGGTGTTATGTGTATGTGTGTTGTCTGACGTCTATTATGTGATCTAACTATCGGAAAAGAGACGTGTGGGTAGTTGGGAATCAGTAAAAGGGCTTGCATTCGCAATCTAAACATTTATCTAAAGGTGTGTTTGGAAAAAGTGGCCGGAATATCCATGGCGCGACCTTGAAGTGAACGCATGGAATTCCATTCGGTGATGGCAACTTGAGGAGACATTTCCCTTCTGAAGTGATAGGGGCAGGTTCCACGCAGCGCGTCTGAAAGGAGGAAAATCAAAATGATTCACTAGGCTGAGTACCCCTCCCCATTGACGATTATTCAGCGACGAGATGCCGTTTTTGATTATCAGTTCAGTCCCTCTGTGCCAGATGTGAACAGGTGGACTGCCTTCAGAACAGTGGGCGCTTTATGCACTTTAATACCTCCACCACCAGACCCTTCTTTCCCCCCCCCCTTCCCAACTCCCAACCCCCTTTCTCCGCCCTCATTACATCTTATCATAATCTGACAGGCCAAGACTCACAACTATTGTGGCTCCGTCATTGCATGCGCCCCTCTCGTTGCGATAGAGGAGAAACGAAGAAGGCGACAATAGTTGTGAGTCTTGGCCTGTCAGATAAGATGCAATGAGGGCGGAGACTCTGGTGGTGGGGGTATTAAAGTGCATAAAGCGCCCACTGTTCTGAAGGCAGTCCACCTGTTCACAACTGGCACAGAGAGACCGAACTGATAATCAAAAACGGCATCTCGTCGCTGAATCGTCAATGG